TACCAGTCTCACTTTAGGAACGATAGATTGCGTTTAGGGTTTTTCTACTTTTGTCAATCAGCAGAAAATCAACATTTAACTTGAATAGACTGGTTCTCGAAGTTGGCATTTCCAATGGGAACGGTGATCCTGCTCCTTCGTTTGTTTCTCACTGAAAAGCGTATACACGATTTGTTTAAGGCTTCTAATTTATATTTCCTATAGGACTAACAAGCTGTGATGGTGATGATCTTGTTCCTGATGACGATCTTTACGCGGACGACGATGATGAAGATTATGCGGGTGAGGATGATGATGCCAGTGCGATCCCCGACTCGCTGGCATCTAGTTTTCATCAAATGGAAATGAATCCACTTCTGGAAAGACTCGACTTTACCGGTTGGTCACCAAGTCACCAGCTGTTCCCACCGCCTGGCCCGTTTTCCGGTTACGGAGCGGGAATGACCGATAGTCTGTTGGCTAATCCCGATTTGGATGCCCGAGAATCCGAATTAGGTGATGAGTTGGATTTAGCCGGGTCGGTTGCGGCCACCGGATCATCTTCACCACCCCGGGTTACTGCATTCGACTCTCCTCTCCCCGGTAATCTCTGCGGTCGAATTGAACCAAAACAAGCCCCGGAGTTTCTTGAAGCTGCTCTCTTACCGCCTTCTTTGTCCGTCCCTTCGTACACCACCGGATGTGACAGCAGTACGAAAGAGCTATATTCCGTCCCCGCCACAGATGACGGCCTCCAATCGGACACGGATGATGTAAGTTTATTCCGAGGCCTATTGTGTATATTATTGATGCCAAAAAATAACCCAGTGCGACGTTTTTAGCCCGTGCTATCTGAATTAGATACCACTTCGTTTCTCGCCGCCATTCAATCGGTCTTTTAGTTTGCACTCAGCGTATTGCATTATACATCTTTTAAGAATAATAGTTTTATGCGGCTTTTTCTTGAGCTTGTGAAAATTCACAGTGGTGAACTAGCTTGTTTTCAGTTACTCATCATCATACGGACACACCATGATATATGCCATAGTAGGAACTCTGTTGCCCACCTGAGCCATGACTACATCAGCAAATTCATCAAAGGAGAACTTTACCACAACTTGTTCTTCGTGTGGATAGTCACGTGTTGAAGTAATAGGTTTTTCTTGTCGCCCACCAGAATACCGTTTTTAATGACTGTAAACCAACAGATTACATTTTGTGCGTGTTTGATGGTACCTACCGGAACAGTCGGATCTTATCCGATTATTAAGAAACATCTTTTATATCACTCATCTTCTTAGCTATTTGCCTATCACATTCGCCCGGGCTTGGATCTGAGTTCATCGACTGCGACAAGCGCAATGCAACAAAGAAACCCTCAGTTCGCTATTCCGGAAAGATCTCAACAAAATTTTACCACCCCTTCTGTCGGTGCTTGTCTGTCTGTCTCTCCCGTTGGTCAAGTGCCCGGACGTTCGACCGTCAGTTCGCACGCGGTGCTTCGTCTCACACCCCAACCAACGCGTCCCACTTTGCCCGAAATCGCCCCGGTCAGTCTTCCCGATTTCGCTCAACCGCCTAACACGCACATCCCCGCCGCGGTTCAACCATCCCAGACAGACACAAACTCGCAATCGGATTACGATAATGTGTGCACATCTACGAGACAGAGACCCAGTAAATCCGCGAACCTGTCGACCAAACACGGCTGTGCTGCTGTGCGCAAACTGGCCGCTGTGGCCCGGCATCGAGCCAATCGGTGGCAGTCACTCACTCCAGGTGATGAGAGTGACGCGATGAGTGGGTGAGTAAATTCAGATGATTATGTACACCGGATTAACTACCGTATATATGATCTGTCCTCCCAATCATGATTTTCCCAGTCTGATTTCTTCTAGTCGGAGCCGTTTTTTATAAATACCAATAACCAGCGTTCGAATTTAATGACTACCGCTTTGAATATTTAAAGATGGTTCTTTGTGAATTACCTGATACATGGTACTCTCTGCCGACCAAACAAGGTCTTTTTTAATACACACAATGATACAGTGGGCGAAAGATGGTCACGAAGAACTTCTGTTCTCTGATGAAATGTACCAGCCTGAGCCCCGGGATTCGCATCATACAATCCCATAAGACCGAGATGCGGTACAGATGGTACAGAGCTATGGAGCTGTCTACCAGCATGGCTATCCTTTAGATAATAATCATTTGTTCTCAACATGAGTTTATCAAGAATTTTTACAACCACAATTCACCACGCTTGATAACCAGTCAACCAATATTCATTCGTCCGATCGGTCGTGACGCTAATGTTTGTTGTACCGTGTGGGACCAACGCTACATTCTAGAGACAAGCGGTGTAGGTCATCATTGGAGCGATTGTGAGTTCGAATCCTACCACCACTAACCATCGTCGGTCTTTCTGTACATCCCTCGTCAGCTTTTGGCTGACCGCAGCCCCCTTCTTGAAAATTGACCGTAACATCGATCGTTGAGAAATCGTGCGTCAGGGAGTCGATCATCGCCTAGTAAGATATGGTGTTTTCAATGGCCGAGGTGTCGTTGACGTGGACAAATCTCCTAGGAGGTATGCCCGATGGCCCGAAATGGTTACCCCGTCGTATTAACCAGCCATCGATCTCGATTTCGTATCTCAGTGGATTCCATGTGTGCTACTGAGGATTCCTGTTCAGAACGAAACAGATGTAAAGTGCTTCCAAGAGTGTCCAGTGGTGCGTAGCACTCGAGTTGACCAATACATTTTATTAAAAATAGAAACCAGTTGACCAATTTCGCATAAGAAAAATGCTTACTTTCGATTTCGAAATAGTTGATGTCAATTTATTAAATTCACCTTGGTCCTTTTTTGATCAAGGTACCGTCCACATCTGACCGATACAAATCGCTCTGGCTTGCAATCCGGTTAGCTAATTTATTTCATGATGTTCGTCCTTGAATTTTCGGGAAAAAACGTTACCCTACTATTTGGTCATATTGTTAGACCAGAGAATCTTCAAAGCTATTGGTGTCACAATCGACTGAATATACCGGTTATCGATATCTCGGTCGGATAGCGGAAACAGCATTCGGATTGGGATCTGAAATGAAAGTGCTGGGAAGCGAAGTTCAAATGTACATTTTGTCTTTGCGGTAGCAGTAGATCAGGATGAACCCGAAGTATGAGGCGGGTGGATTTTAAACATGTCAGTCAGCTCTAGGAAGAACGTTCCAGGTTAGGTTTATGTGACTGCGTAAAGAGCAGGCGGGGCGTGGCCTCGTCAGTTTGGATGATTTGAGGTACGGTTTACGTTTGCGCATATAAGCACGCAGACATGATCTCTTGAGGCTTCAATCAGTGTGTGCGGCATACGGAGTGCAGTTAGCCCACTGATTAGGATCACGTGATCGCCGGTGTTGATTGGACTGCGTCCCCGTGTTCGGGGCGACAGAATGTACTAATCATCGCCGCAGCCGCAAGACACTCTTTCAATTCAGTCTGTCTAATGTCATAATAATTATTGGAATTAGTGAAACATAAAGTGGTAACTAGGTTTAAGTTTCTTTCAGCTAAAAGGTAAACCAGGCTTTAGGGCGTAAAGTAAATCTCGGCATTCAAAAGGCTTGAATGGCTAACACCTCACACATCCCAAATGCGACTTCGTCGAACGCGCATTCAGATTTGTGTGTAATCGTCCGTAATATAAATTCGGTGATGATATGGGAAAATTTGGTACAAGAGAATAACGGATGATTCGATTTAATTATATGGCGATTTTGCGCATATATATGTATGTCATCTCCTACCGGAATTACTGTCTACCAATTATTGATATCTTTAGATCAAGGGCAACGCTGTCTTACGTCATCTGATAGTTGAGTTTGGCATATTTTGAATGCTGGAAGTGACAGTCGGATAGTATTAAGGAGAACCACTTTTATTTTTCACTTCATTTGCGAGAAATATTCCATTGAACAACCCAATTCACACGGATTGGGTTGTTCCCATTAAAAATCGCACTCTGAATGGGAGGATACCATGGAGGCTTATAATATTCCACCACATAGCACTCCATACTCATCCGTTTTGAGCGTTGATTATATTTTGCTTTATTCTCTTTTCTGATACACAGATACATCGGTGATGCTGCCTCATCTGTCTACGACACTGGGGAGGATGATGATGATGATGATGGCGAGCGAGGCAGTACGAACGATCGGTGCGACGTGACTCAATTGTACATCCCTCATCCACCAAGTGAACCAATATACGGGAAGATTGAAGTGGATTCCAACAGGAATTTCCCAAATCGTTCAACAAGTGCAGCAGTAGCTGCAACATCACCCCCAGTGGCACACAATTCTATCGGACAGAATATGACATCCAATGGCCACACTGATGAAACAACCCGTACGGTTCCCGTCCCAACCAAAGCGACTTCAAACGGTTCAGGGACGCGTCGAGCCACATTGGACACAGCAGTATCTCTGCAGCCTACGGCGCAGACCAATTTTATAAATGTTCACCGTACTCCGAGCAGTGCAGGAAGTCAAACCAGTGGGCCCGAAATGCGGTACGAATACCATTCTCTCACCATCCTGCATATCATTGCCACGTCTTTGGTATTCCGTCACCTACCACAGGAGGTCCAGGAGACCCCCGCTGTAGGTGACAATTAGCCAAATAGTGGTGTTATATTTATTTGCATTCCAATACTTTCTAAATCCCTCTCATAATCCTATAAATCTTCCCGCATTCTTATAAATCCTTTATTCCTCTTAAACCCACTAAAGTGTCACAATATTTCCTTATTCCTCTTAAAGTGTCACAATATTGCAAACTATTCATGGGTGCTAATCGATGAATTATACTCCACCTTGAACGATGAAGATCATTAATTGAATAGTTGTACAACACTGATTGTGATGGAGGTGTTGATGAATGTACTGGACGGACAGGAAGAACATTAAAGCTCTTCCGAAGTCACCACTTCATCAAGTGGGATAGTATTTCTGCCTGGGATCGTAACTTTATTTTCCGCTAAAAAAGTAACTGGTCTCTTCCGCCAAGCGACGAACATAGTTAAGGCAAGTTACTGCTGCTGTTTGTTAACAGTAGAGCCCTTATGAAATTCTGAAATTAATACTGTATTTTATTTCGATTGAATATTCTTTTAGTGTTTTGAATAACATCTCCCATATTCTATTTCACTACGGGACTGTATCTTTTACTTAGTGTGATGGCCTGCGTGCTTACTTAACCCGAGCGATACAGAATGGCTTCTCAGCCACAGATCCAATCATACCTGAAAGGTAAATGGGAAGAGGCGAAAAAAGCCTGATGTCCCAAGGTCAACAAATTGATTAGGTACAGGTTCATGTTTTACAACCGGTAACCATTTGCTTATGTGAGGCGGTTTTGGTTGCTGTCTTTTGGCTTACTTAGCTGAATAAAAGGGCAGAAGAAAAAATGGGATGTTGAAAGCAGAAGAGAAGATAGAGAATTCCAATAAACTAAGGCTGCAAGACTAATTAGTAGATGCACGAGCGCCATTTTTTTGTGACAGCCATATCACAGCGTCTCTAACCACCGGTTACCATGATCTTGACGTCCCTGTCTAGGAGCCTACGGGATCTATATGTCCAAGTCTCCTGGTTAGGGTTTTGAAACCCTGGTGCAAGGTCTCAGTTTGACCTCCCTTGATCTTTTTCGATCCACTGCCTGCCTCGGCAAACATTGCGCGCCGTGGCAAACTATTTCGAGACATGCTCAGTACATGTCCCAACCATTGTAGCCTATGAAGATCTACCACTTACGCCAGTGGACGACCGTGATAACCCAAAACTCTGCACCTAACCTCAGCATTCGTTCATCCGGTATCCCCACCAAACTCGTGCAATGCGACGTAGACAGTGGTGTTCAAACACCTACAGACGATTTTTATCCTGTTCCCTTGGCCGAACCACTGCAGCATACTCAACCCTTTACGGACAGCCCGATTTTTCGACGACGGCTCAGACTTCTCAAGTTCGCAAATGCCAATCGAGTCTTCTATATACGTAGTACCTCCGCCGGGTGAGACAGGTGTCCAAATGGCAAAATGTCTACTTCCTCTGCTACCTCTCCAGTTAGAGCCTTCGAAGTCTGTCACAGCATTAGACCCAACGACCGCGGACACTCGCAATTAAATCAACGTTAACGGTCAGAATGCCTTAGGTGGAAACACACATGCACAAGGGTCAATGGTTTACAGTCATTTAATCAAATTTATGAGAGCGAAATGCCAATCACGTGAGGGAATGGAACAATGATCTGGTGTGCGCGTGTGTATTAATCGGTTGACCAGTGGATGCCTCANATGCCTCACGGATTATGAATAAGGATAGCGTGGATTGGTGGGGGCGAACAACAAAGTGGTGAAGGTGATACGGATCACGAGTGACAGAACGCAGTCGGCCCGATCGATAAACCCCCTGGATCAACACGTAGCACGTTTAGTGAGAAAAGGAAGAAATGACAGGAATCAAAAGTTAATGGAAATGTACATGTAACCTGGAGCACGAATAGGGCAAGTCTGTGCAGAAAGTGAAACGGATTCAACACCGCTCCCCCCCCCCCCAAANCCCAAAGCCGGGTTGGCTTTCCTAAATATTCACCCCACAGGCTACACAGGGAGACAAGTGGAAACGAAAATGGTCAACTTTACTCTTGCTACAATAGCTCCGATAGGCAACACAGGTGCACATACATTGGTGGGGTTTCGAACGCTCATCAGCTCCTTCTAACAGGTAAACCATACGGATGTATAACCCCTTTGCGGTCTTGATCGACACTTTCTTCACAAGTCCATCCTCCCTGTTTACCACAAATGTAATGACTCGCTTTGCCCATTCGTTTCGAGCAACGAGAAGGCAGTAGGTAGGAATTCCTCAGCAGAAGCTGTTTGAGGCACTTGGTCGATTGGGAGCGTTTCCAGAGTGTTTCGGAGCACGAGACACCCACTCCTGACCATACTGAGGCATTTGGAGGCATCTACCTGCATTCGTTACAAGTTTCGATTGGTAAGGATTTCAAGTTTCTATCTTTTTGCATAAACCGAATTGCTTTTATTTTTCCAATTCGCTTCATACTTGTTTTATTTAATTCATTTCCCATTACCCCCTGCTCCCCTCTTCCCTATCGTAACCCAAATCAGGTCCGAATATGACAATGTAGAGACCGGTGAATCAAGTAATGAGGCACATATGTTGAAACAGGCGAGTCCAAAAAGGAAAACCCGTGTTCGATCGACTCAACAGCCTGGATCGCATCGAGTTGCGTCGATGAATGCAAAACGTTCAGAGATTACCCAGCGCTTGTTTGATGCACAAATTGCCGCCGAGGCTCGTCGAATTAGTCGACAATTCCGAGCGATGGGTTGGCTTCCGGCTGCTAGCGCCATCTACTCTCCCGTGGCTCAACGCAGTCCTACTGAGGTAGATGAAGC